GTCATCAGTGTCTAGTGCAAATGCCCAGGATTTTAATTTTTAGTAAAATACTACTGATCACAGGATTATAACATCAAGTAATAACATTGTCATTTCACAGATTGATTGAACATTGGATTCACATTATTATTGGTAATAACAAACGTTTGATTATGTGTTTATCAAAAGAGAGTTAGTTCTTCGTCTTGAGCTGTAACAGAGGTGAAGCAGTTCAGAAGAGCAGAGTGCATGAAAGACCTTGGCCACTATCTCATGTAGATTAGGCTGTCAGAGACTTTATGTCTCTGCTCGAGCAGACGCAGCAGATTATGACCTTTAGGTCAAAAACAGGACATTCATGACGCTACACAGGTCTAGGGTCATCAGGGGGAGAGTGAGTCAGGTCTAGGGTCATCAGAGAGAGTCTGAGTTAGGTCAAGGGTCATCAGGGGTAGAGTGAGTCAGGTCTAGGGTCATCAGAGGGAGAGTGAGTCAGGTCTAGGGTCATCGGGGGAGAGTGAGTCAGGTCTAGGGTCATCAGGGGGAGAGTGAGTCAGGTCTAGGGTCATCAGGGGGTGTGATTCAGCTCTAGGGTCATCAGAGAGAGTGAGTCAGGTCTAGGGTCATCAGGGGGAGAGTGAGTCAGGTCTAGGGTCATCAGGGGGTGTGAGTCAGGTCTAGGGTCATCAGGGGGTGTGAGTCAGGTCTAGGGTCATCAGAGAGAGTGAGTCAGGTCTAGGGTCATCAGAGAGAGTCTGGGTCAGGTCTAGGGTCATCAGGGGGAGAGAGTCAGGTCTAGGGTCATCAGAGAGAGTCTGGGTCAGGTCTAGGGTCATCAGAGAGAGTCTGGGTCAGGTCTAGGGTCATCAGGGGGAGAGTGAGTCAAGTCTAGGGTCATCAGGGGGAGAGTGAGTCAGGTCTAGGGTCATCAGAGAGAGTGAGTCAGGTCTAGGATCGTCAGAGAGAGTCTGGGTCAGGTCTAGGGTCATCAGAGAGAGTGAGTCAGGTCTAGGGTCATCAGAGAGAGTCTGGGTCAGGTCTAGGGTCATCAGAGAGTCTTGGTCAGGTCTAGGGTCATCATGGAGAGTATGGGTCAGGTCTAGGGTCATCATGGAGAGTATGGGTCATGTCTAGGCTCATCAGAGAGACTGGGTCGGGTCTAGGGTAATCATGGAGAGTATGGGTCAGGTCTAGGGTCATCAGAGAGAGTGAGTCAGGTCTAGGGTCATCAGGGGGAGAGTGAGTCAGGTCTAGGGTCATCAGAGAGAGTCTGAGTTAGGTCAAGGGTCATCAGGGGGAGAGTGAGTCAGGTCTAGGGTCATCAGAGAGAGTCTGGGTCAGGTCTAGGGTCAGCAGAGAGAGTCTGGGTCAGGTCTAGGGTCAGCAGAGAGAGTCTGGGTCAGGTCTAGGGTCATCAGAGAGTCTGGGTCAGGTCTAGGGTCATCATGGAGATTATGGGTCAGGTCTAGGCTCATCAGAGAGACTGGGTCGGGTCTAGGGTAATCATGGAGAGTATGGGTCAGGTCTAGGGTCATCAGAGAGAGTGAGTCAGGTCTAGGGTCATCAGGGGGAGAGTGGGTCAGGTCTAGGGTCATCAGAGAGAGTCTGAGTTAGGTCAAGGGTCATCAGGGGGAGAGTGAGTCAGGTCTAGGGTCATCAGAGAGAGTCTGGGTCAGGTCTTGGGTCAGCAGAGAGAGTCTGGGTCAGGTCTAGGGTCATCAGAGAGAGTCTGGGTCAGGTCTAGGGTCATCAGGGGGTGTGAGTCAGGTCTAGGGTCATCAGAGAGAGTCTGGATCAGGTCTAGGGTCATCAGGGGGAGTGAGTCAAGTCTAGGGATATCCTGGGGAGAGTGAGTCAGGTCTAGGGTCATCAGGGGGAGAGTGAGTCAGGTCTAGGGTCATCAGAGAGAGTGAGTGAGGTCTAGGGTCATCAGAGAGAGTCTGGGTCAGGTCTAGGGTCACCAGAGAGTCTGGGTCAGGTCTAGGGTCATCATGGAGAGTCTGGGTCAGGTCTAGGGTCATCAGAGAGAGTGAGTCAGGTCTAGGGTCATCAGGGGGAGAGTGAGTCAGGTCTAGGGTCATCAGAAAGAGTCTGAGTTAGGTCAAGGGTCATCAGGGGGAGAGTGAGTCAGGTCTAGGGTCATCAGGGGGAGTGAGTCAGGTCTAGGGTCATCAGAGAGAGTCTGGGTCAGGTCTAGGTTCATCATGGAGAGTCTGGGTCAGGTCTAGGGTCATCAGGGGGAGTGAGTCAAGTCTAGGGTCATCAGGGGGAGAGTGGGTCAGGTGTAGGGTAATCAGAGAGAGTCGGAGTTAAGTCTAGGGTCATCAGGGGGAGTGAGTTATGTCTAGGGTCATCAGGGGGAGTGAGTCAGGTCTAGGGTCATCAGAGAGAGTCTGAGTTAAGTCTAGGGTCATCCGGGGGAGTGAGTCAGGTCTAGGGTCATCAGAGAGAGTCTGGATCAGGTCTAGGGTCATCAGGGGGAGTCTGGGTCAGGTCTAGGGTCTTTTATAAGTGCCACTTGATTCTGAGGAGATTCTTTACTACATTAAGAGATAAAAGCTTTTATGAAAACCAGTTTGGACGTTGGTTATTGACACTGTTTAATTCTTGCCTGTGAACAAAGTAGTTTACAGTTAACGTGAGAACATTGTTTCCAGGCTGGAAAAGATAAAACAAGGCACAACAAAGAAGAATTTACTGGTCCTCATAGAACCACTGACCCTCCATCTTCTGACCCAGTGACCACCGATGGAATGGGTCTCAGATCCAGGTGAATATAGATGGAAACGTCGTTGGGCAGGAAGTGTGATTTACTAAAGTTCAGAGGTCACCACTAATCTTGATAATCATCATCAATGACCAGCCCACCAGTTATGTATCACGAGTAATCACAAGTTGCTGGTTCTTCTAGACTCTCTTTCAGGAAGAAGGTATATAGACGACGGAACATCAAGAAGCTGAAGCATCTAGACTTCAGGATGCTGCTACCGGAGGACTCCAACATGGAGGTGCTCTCTACCCTTGGTATGCCCCGAACTGCGTGTGTGTGTGTGTGTGTGTGTCTGTGTGTGTGTGTGTGTGTGTTCTGAAGGTTTATTATTGACACGTGGAGGTAAACGTTTCATCTGACATGTTGTTTTATTGTGTCTGAAAACACAAAGAGCCGGTCCCAGATCAGCGCAGCCATGAGGTGGTGGCTGCTGGTGAGGAAGAGGAGCAGCCAGGTATGTGTCAGCAGTTCAGCAACCACAGCTAACATTTCTACAACTGGAGACGGATTCAGATGTTTATTCACATCAGAGATCAGAGACTAACTCTGGCTGTTTGGTGTCCAGATAAGGAGGAAGCAGCAGAGAGCCTGGACCTGCCACCTGTGACCACCAAGGAGGAAGAAGAGGAGGGGAAACCACCTCCAGGAAACCATGGACCATTCCAGGTGGACCTGAAAGACCCAGGGACAACAATGCTATCAGGGTAACAGAACCAGGAAGTACACAAAGCCCCTGCTGGGATGGTTGGTCTTAATTTTAGTTACGATAAATAAAAAGGACCCACACTTGTGTAGCACCTTCCTGAGTCAGAGGACTCCAAAGCTGTCCTTCACCCATTCACACGCTGGTGGTGATGAGCTCCACCGTAGCCACGGCTGCCCTGGGACCCACTGACAGAGGAGACTAAGGTCCTGCTGGTGGTTAATGATGTAACAGGCTGTTGTTTACATACCATCAAAGCCACATAGACTGATGTTCTGTTGATCTTCCCAGAGCTCCTTCTGTGGGTAACAGACCCGATGGTCCTGGGACCAGCGCACTACAGACACACGTAGTTCTGAGGGTCCGGTTACTGGAGGACTCTGAGACTGAGGTTCTCTCTGACACCGGTACGTTCTGAACTCTCCTGGTTCCAGAAGATCCACTCATCACACATGTTTTAGTCCTTCTCAGGTCTGCAGACGCGCATATTTCTCAAGCCGATCAACAACACAACTAAACACGCCTGATGAGTCAGGACTAGAGCCCTGCACTGAAGCCCTTGGCCCACGAGTCGGCCCATTCCGAGGGCCGGGCTTCGGGCCAACAACTCTGTAATTACCTCGGACACGGGCCGGGCCGGGCGTCTTTATTTTTAATCGAATTCATTAAAAAAATTGAAACACTTAAACGCAGCAGTAGAGCCCTGCGCGGGACTGCTTTCTTCATCCCGCTGAATCTCTGACCCTTACCGCTCACACCCGCAGCATCCATGTCTACTCCCGCTCGCACCCGCAAAACTCGGAGAAATGATTACCTCACAATAAAAGAGATGTATTGAGTTTGCGTCCTCAACATGTCATTTTATAGGTTATCCGCTTTCACCGTGGCGCTCTGTTTCAATCAGGCTGTGCAGCAGGATTTCCCCTCGTAGCGATATTTTCTCTAATTCTGATTGCTTCATGCTATAGATCGTTGGAAAGCTGCTTTTATGTACTTTTAGGAACCGTTGGAATTTTGTCAGTCTGATAAGCCGTTCAAAAGTTATAAATCGGAGCATTTTGGATGACAAACTCAGCACGTCTCTGAATCTGTGTTGTGATTCGTTGCGCTCAAGACAGGGAATCCCGGTGGCTACCGTAATGTATTGTATATGTACGGAAAGCCCCATTTTTAATCTTTTCAGCACTTTTGGAATTTTAATGATAACTTGAACTAGAGCAGGGATCGGCAACCCGCGGCTTTTCCATCCATCTGATGCGGCTCTCTGTGTTTGTAAAATAATGAATGGATATTCAAATAAAATGCTTTATATTTTACTGAATTAATTTTTTATCTGTAAGTCAATTCTATGTAAAGATTGTCTGCGTAAACCTGAACAGGTCCAACCCGATCTTACTGTGAGACCGGGTTGACGCATCACGCTTGTGCGTAATCATTTCGGCGCTCTCTGAGCTGAAGAGGATGTGAGATTCTGGGATTCTCCTCAGACGGCTCCTGGATGTGTCGCCACATTGGAGACAGGAACAAGCACTATTCAGCCAAAGTTTCATTATCAGGGAACATTTTCTAAGTGACAAGTCTCTCTGAGAGACAGGGTTTGGAAAACACTCGCTTCAGTGGGAGGACCTTCCCGCATGCGCTCTGGTTCTGCGACGCGCTCCAAGCCTCTCTCCACATCTTCAGCTCGCTGTGCACATATGCGCTGACAGCGAGCTGCGCTGAGCAGTGTCCAGCTCAGATGTTCAGATGGGAATCTTTTCTTGAGTGATTTAGCTACATCTGCGATGTGCGTAGAATAAAATGTCAGTTCGTCTGCATGCGTCGGGGTAATTCTTTTCTTTCTCCGTCAAAATAAACGGTCAAATACGGGAACTATCCGGTCAACACAACACAAGCCCTGCTTTTAACTGTTCTGTTTTCTTGTGATAATTGTTGGAAAGAGATCAAATTTAACTTGATTAACACCAGAGCCAGTGCACCGTTATCTTCGTGACGGTAAACGAGGGAAGAACAAATTGATCGGATCCTGCACGTCTTTTAACACATTGGTCAGGATTGACGCACTTTGTTTTCATTTAGTTGGTTAAAAAAAAGTCGGGCTCGGGTCGGGCCAGAGAATCCTGAAAACCTTTTCGGACCGGGTCGGGACGGGGCTCCACCCCCTCGGGCCGTGCCGGACACGGGCTCAGATTTTAGGCCCGTGCAGGGCTCTAGTCAGGACATCAATGAGCGGTTTCACAGAGAAACAGATTTTTACCTGATGAGCCAGTCGGATCTTCGTGAATTCTGGTTTAGCCTCCAGGAAACAGCGGAGAACGTCTAAGCTAGTAGAAGCTAACCATTAGCATTAGCTGTACCACCACACAGCAGAACTCCTCCAGGCTTGTTATATGTGGAGTTAAGGAGCAAACCGTCAGTGGTAGAGTCGTGTTGCTGTGAGCCAATCAGAGGAGAGATGTTTGAGTATCATGAGGTACTGATGATTAGGACTTGATCTTTATCTTCATCTAAATGTTTCTCCTAGTGTTTACGACAACTCCAGTCCAGGACCTGAAGTGTCCTTGTGGTCTACAGGAGTCTGACTTCCTGGACCACCTGAGGTCCTCCTTCCCTCAGCTGGCTAACGGAGAACCTTTTGACATCTTCAAAACCAATCGCAACAGGAAGCTTCTTCCTCTGAGAGTAAAAGCTCTGACTCCAGAGGAGATCTACTCCACCGTAGAATCCACCGGATACTCCACCCTCTACATTCGCCTGAAGGTTGTTGGACTCATCCTTAATTTCTCATTCACACTCCAGAAAATCAGAATCAACTTTGTCATTGTCCTGGAGCGTATGACACATGACATGTACAACAAAGAAGGAGACAGGCAGCCAAGAGCGGCCATTTTCAGTTAGAAAAGGGTTACATGAGGATGGGGGGGGGGCGTTACAGAGTTACCCCCAACAGGTAGTAGCGCCCCCCGTTGAGTTGTTCCACGGTCAAATGTTTCTGCATGTGGGCAAACAGACCTGTTCACAAGTCACACTTTACCATGTCAGGTGTAAAGGATGGGTAGTTTACATCTCACTTATGAACATAAAATGTGAGATTCCATAGAAATATGAAACATCAATCTGATGGATCTTTGAATATTACAACCAGAAGATCAGAACTTTTTATTGCAGGGATTAAGCGACACTTTGTATTAACTCCGAGGAAAGAGAGAGAGTCAGGTTTATAATAGTTAAGAAATTTATTTCTACACAATTTAAACAAGACTAACTTTAACACTCTGTGTACTGACGGACTAGGATGGAGTGAGACATGAGAGGATGTGTGTGTTTGCAATGTGGTCATCAGAACCTTAGGATCCGGAGAAGCATTTAGTTCTGAGTGGGAGTGAATGTTTCGCTCTAAACTTTAGTAGGAGATTTATAACGCACATGAAATGCCATCTGTCGGTCTACGTACCCCAGGGGAAGCCTCCGTTTAGATCCAGAATATCGAGGTCCTCTTGGACCCTCTTTGGTACCGAAGCCGGTAGAAAAGTAGCGGTGCCGACCAAACTAGTCTTGGAAAGCTTCCAGGTCACGACAGGTTATTATTGGCGTCAGCGAGACCCTGAAGGGGTCGTGAGGTTCAGCTTTTATTCTGAAGGAACCGTTGCGGTCAGGTGTAACTTGCAACAGATTTTATCCAGCTTGTCGAGGTTCTTCATGGCTCAAGATGAGGTCCGGATGACCGGTCCGAGACTTCTCTAGAACGCTTTGAACTAAAGAAAAGGTGGCGTGGGATAGTTTTTATGATTGTCATATTTTGGTTTACTGGTGAATCAGAATTTGACATGCAAAAGAGGGTTTATACAAACACCACAGAAAACCACGCCTAGCCAGAAACGAATGTTCTGATTGGATCAGACAAAAGGAAATGTGTTGTTTGACTTCAATTCAATTCAAGTTTATTTATATAGCGCCAAATCACGACAAGAGTCGTCTCAAGGCACTTCACATAATAAACATTCCAATTCAGGTCAGTTCATTAAGCCAATCAGAAATAATGTTTCCTATATAAGGAACCCAGCTAATTGCATCAAGTCACTGGCTAGTGTCAGTGACTATACAGCAATCCTCATACTAAGCAAGCATGCAGCGACAGTGGAGAGGAAAACTCCCTTTTAACAGAAAGAAACCTCCAGAGAATCCTGGCTCAGTATAAGCAGCCATCCTCCACGACTCACTGGGGATCGAGAAGACAGAGCAGGCAGACACACACGCACGCACACACGCACGCACGCGCACACACACATACACACACACACACACAATAATGTGTCTATAGTTCTATTGCGATGTCTTAGTAAATGTTCTGTTTGGTGAGATCAACTTTATTGTATTTATCCTAGTGGATCTATAATTAAACGGGTAAACTAGCAGTAGCACATCCAACGTCAAGGAAAGCATAAAGTTATTAACAGGAGAGGGGGAATGTTTAAGTGGTTAGCAGCAGTGTGCTAGACGATGGCCCCCTCCATGAGGCCACCACAGCTCAGCAGAACATCATTGTAGCTTCTTCTGGGGAGAAAAACACTTACAGAGAAAATAAAGTTAACAGCTGAAATTGCAGAAAATAATACAGTTAAAGAGCAGACTGTAGAAGAAAGCAGTAGAGTGTGAAAAGTGGTCAGTGTATCCTCCAGCAGTCTAAGCCTATAGCAGCATAACTACAGAGATAACTCTGGATAACTTATCCTATTTAGATGGAGGCATGTTGGAGTCAGGGCAAGGGAGAGCCGTCTTTACCGACTGTACACTCCACCTCCCTCTACTCCCCCACTTGTCCAGATTTAGGCTAACATCAGATTTTAACCATAGGCCCTATCAAATAAAAATGTTTTAAGCCTAAAAGTGTCTGCCTCACGGACTAAGGCTGGGAGCTGGTTCCACAGGAGAGAAGCCTGATAACTAAAAGATCTGCCTCCCATCCTAATTTTAGATATTCTGGGAACCACCAGTAAACCTGCAGTCTGAGAGCGAAGTGCTCGGTTAGGAACGTATGGAACAATCAGATCACTGATGTATGATGGAGCTTGATTATTAAAAGCTTTGTATGTGAGAAGAAGGATCTTAAAATCTATTCTGAATTTAACAGGTAGCCAATGTAGGGAAGCTAAGACAGGAGAGATATGATCTCTCTTTTTAATTCTCATCAGAACTCTAGCTGCAGCATTTTGGACAAGCTGAAGACTTTTAACTACATTATGTGGACTTCCTGAGAGTAATGAATTACAGTAATCCAGTCTTGATGTAATAAATGCATGAACTAGTTTTTCAGCATCACTTCTGGAAAGGATGCTTCTAATCTTAGCAATATTCCGAAGGTGGAAAAAAGAAATCCTACAAACTTGTGAAACCTGGGATTTGAATGACATGTCCTGGTCAAAGATAACACCAAGGTTCCTTACTTTGTTCTCGGAGATTAATGTAATGCCATTCAAGTCAGGCGATTGGCTAAGCAATTTCCTTTTCTGGATTTCTGGTCCAAAGATGAGAACTTCCGTCTTGTCTTGATTTAAAAGCAAAACTTAGTCATCCAATGTTTTATGTCCTCAAGACAAGCCTGTAATCTACCCAACCGATTAGGTTCATCAGCATTATGTGTCATCAGTGTCTAGTGCAAATGCCCAGGATTTTAATTTCTAGTAAAATACTACTGATCACAGGATTATAACATCAAGTAATAACATTGTCATTTCACAGATTGATTGAACATTGGATTCACATTATTATTGGTAATAACAAACGTTTGATTATGTGTTTATCAAAAGAGAGTTAGTTCTTCGTCTTGAGCTGTAACAGAGGTGAAGCAGTTCAGATGAGCAGAGTGCATGAAAGACCTTGGCCACTATCTCATGTAGATTAGGCTGTCAGAGACTTTATGTCTCTGCTCGAGCAGACGCAGCAGATCATGACCTTTAGGTCAAAAACAGGACATTCATGACGCTACACAGGTCTAGGGTCATCAGGGGGAGAGTGAGTCAGGTCTAGGGTCATCAGAGAGAGTCTGAGTTAGGTCATGGGTCATCAGGGGGAGAGTGAGTCAGGTCTAGGGTCATCAGAGGGAGAGTGAGTCAGGTCTAGGGTCATCGGGGGAGAGTGAGTCAGGTCTAGGGTCATCAGGGGGTGTGAGTCAGCTCTAGGATCATCAGAGAGAGTGAGTCAGGTCTAGGGTCATCAGGGGGAGAGTGAATCAGGTCTAGGGTCATCAGGGGGTGTGAGTCAGGTCTAGGGTCATCAGGGGGTGTGAGTCAGGTCTATGGTCATCAGAGAGAGTGAGTCAGGTCTAGGGTCATCAGAGAGAGTGAGTCAGGTCTAGGGTCATCAGAGAGAGTCTGGGTCAGGTCTAGGGTCATCAGGGGGAGTGAGTCAGGTCTAGGGTCATCAGGGGGAGTGAGTCAGGTCTAGGGTCATCAGAGAGAGTCTGGGTCAGGTCTAGGGTCATCAGGGGGAGAGTGAGTCAAGTCTAGGGTCATCAGGGGGAGAGTGAGTCAGGTCTACGGTCATCAGAGAGAGTGAGTCAGGTCTAGGATCATCAGAGAGAGTCTGGGTCAGGTATAGGATCATCAGAGAGAGTGGGTCAGGTCTAGGGTCATCAGAGAGAGTGAGTCAGGTCTAGGGTCATCAGAGAGAGTCTGGGTCAGGTCTAGGGTCATCAGAGAGTCTGGGTCAGGTCTAGGGTCATCATGGAGAGTATGGGTCAGGTCTAGGGTCATCATGGAGAGTATGGGTCAGGTCTAGGCTCATCAGAGAGTCTGGGTCGGGTCTAGGGTCATCATGGAGAGTATGGGTCAGGTCTAGGGTCATCAGAGAGAGTGAGTCAGGTCTAGGGTCATCAGGGGGAGAGTGAGTCAGGTCTAGGGTCATCAGAGAGAGTCTGAGTTAGGTCAAGGGTCATCAGGGGGAGAGTGAGTCAGGTCTAGGGTCATCAGAGAGAGTCTGGGTCAGGTCTAGGGTCATCAGAGAGTCTGGGTCAGGTCTAGGGTCATCATGGAGAGTATGGGTCAGGTCTAGGGTCATCATGGAGAGTATGGGTCAGGTCTAGGCTCATCAGAGAGTCTGGGTCGGGTCTAGGGTCATCAGAGAGTCTGGGTCAGGTCTAGGGTCATCATGGAGAGTCTGGGTCAGGTCTAGGGTCATCAGAGAGTCTGGGTCAGGTCTAGGGTCATCATGGAGAGTCTGAGTCAGGTCTAGGGTCATCGTGGGAGTGAGTCAAGTCTAGGGTCATCGGGGGAGTGAGTCAGGTCTAGGGTCATCAGGGGGAGAGTGAGTCAAGTGTATGGTTATCAGGGGGAGTTAGTCAGGTCTAGGGTCATCAGGGGGAGAGTGAGTCAGGTCTAGGGTCATCAGGGGGTGTGAGTCAGGTCTAGGGTCATCAGAGAGAGTCTGGGTCAGGTCTAGGGTCATCAGGGGGAGTGAGTCAGGTCTAGGGTCATCAGAGAGAGTCTGGGTCAGGTCTAGGGTCATCAGGGGGAGTGAGTCAGGTCTAGGGATATCCGGGGGAGAGTGAGTCAGGTCTAGGGTCATCAGGGGGAGAGTGAGTCAGGTCTAGGGTCATCAGAGAGAGTGAGTGAGGTCTAGGGTCATCAGAGAGAGTCTGGGCCAGGTCTAGAGTCATCAGAGAGTCTGGGTCAGGTCTAGGGTCATCATGGAGAGTCTGGGTCAGGTCTAGGGTCATCAGAGAGAGTGAGTCAGGTCTAGGGTCATCAGGGGGACTGAGTCAGGTCTAGGGTCATCAGAGAGAGTCTGGGTCAGGTCTAGGTTCATCATGGAGAGTCTGGGTCAGGTCTAGGGTCATCAGGGGGAGAGTGGGTCAGGTGTCGGGTCATCAGAGAGAGTTGGTCAGGTCTAGGGTCATCAGAGAGTCTGGGTCAGGTCTAGGGTCATCAGGGGGAGTGAGTCAGGTCTAGGGTCATCAGAGAGAGTCTGGGTCAGGTCTAGGGTCATCAGGGGGAGTGAGTCAAGTCTAGGGATATCCGGGGGAGATTGAGTCAGGTCTAGGGTCATCAGGGGGAGAGTGAGTCAGGTCTAGGGTCATCAGAGAGAGTGAGTGAGGTCTAGGGTCATCAGAGAGAGTCTGGGTCAGGTCTAGGGTCATCATGGAGAGTCTGGGTCAGGTCTAGGGTCATCAGAGAGAGTGAGTCAGGTCTAGGGTCATCAGGGGGAGTGAGTCAGGTCTAGGGTCATCAGAGAGAGTCTGGGTCAGGTCTAGGTTCATCATGGAGAGTCTGGGTCAGGTCTAGGGTCATCAGGGGGAGAGTGGGTCAGGTGTAGGGTCATCAGAGAGAGTGGGTCAGGTCTAGGGTCATCAGAGAGAGTCGGAGTTATGTCTACGGTCATCAGGGGGAGTGAGTCAGGTCTACGGTCATCAGAGAGAGTCTGAGTTAAGTCTAGGGTCATCCGGGGGAGTGAGTCAGGTCTAGGGTCATCAGGGGGTGTGAGTCAGGTCTAGGGTCATCAGAGAGAGTCTGGGTCAGGTCTAGGGTCATCAGGGGGAGTGAGTCAGGTCTAGGGTCATCAGGGGGAGTGAGTCAGGTCTAGGGTCATCAGAGAGAGTCTGGGTCAGGTCTAGGGTCATCAGGGGGAGTGAGTCAGGTCTAGGGTCATCAGGGGGAGTGAGTCAGGTCTAAGGTCATCAGAGAGAGTCTGGGTCAGGTCTAGGGTCATCAGAGAGAGTCTGGGTCAGGTCTAGGGTCATCAGGGGGAGAGTGAGTCAAGTCTAGGGTCATCAGGGGGAGAGTGAGTCAGGTCTAGGGTCATCAGAGAGAGTGAGTCAGGTCTAGGGTCATCAGAGAGAGTGAGTCAGGTCTAGGATCATCAGAGAGAGTCTGGGTCAGGTATAGGATCATCAGAGAGAGTGGGTCAGGTCTAGGGTCATCAGAGAGAGTGAGTCAGGTCTAGGGTCATCAGAGAGAGTCTGGGTCAGGTCTAGGGTCATCAGAGAGTCTGGGTCAGGTCTAGGGTCATCTTGGAGAGTATGGGTCAGGTCTAGGGTCATCATGGAGAGTATGGGTCAGGTCTAGGCTCATTAGAGAGTCTGGGTCGGGTCTAGGGTCATCATGGAGAGTATGGGTCAGGTCTAGGGTCATCAGAGAGAGTGAGTCAGGTCTAGGGTCATCAGGGGGAAAGTGAGTCAGGTCTAGGGTCATCAGAGAGAGTCTGAGTTAGGTCAAGGGTCATCAGGGGGAGAGTGAGTCAGGTCTAGGGTCATCAGAGAGAGTCTGGGTCAGGTCTAATGGTAATGGTAAATGGCCTGTATTTGATATAGCGCCTTCTAGAGTCCTAGAACCCCCCAAGGCGCTTTACAACACAATCAGTCATTCACCCATTCACACACACATTCACACACTGGTGGTGATGAGCTACAATGTAGCCACAGCTGCCCTGGGGCGCACTGACAGAGGCGAGGCTGCCGAGCATTGGTTACACCAGTCCCTCCGACCACCACCAGCAGGCAACGTGGGTTAAGTGTCTTGCCCAAGGACACAACGACAGCGACAGACTGAGCGGGACTCGAACCAGCAACCTTCCGATTACGGGGCGAGCACTTAACTCCTGTGCCACCGTCGCCCCTGGTCTAGGGTCATCATGGAGAGTATGGGTCAGGTCTAGGGTCATCATGGAGAGTATGGGTCAGGTCTAGGCTCATCGTGGGAGTGAGTCAATTCTAGGGTCATTGGGGGAGTGAGTCAGGTCTAGGGTCATCAGGGGGAGAGTGAGTCAAGTCTAGGGTTATCAGGGGGAGTGAGTCAGGTCTAGGGTCATCAGGGTGAGAGTGAGTCAGGTCTAGGGTCATCAGGGGGTGTGAGTCAGGTCTAGGGTCATCAGAGAGAGTCTGGGTCAGGTCTAGGGTCATCAGGGGGAGTGAGTCAGGTCTAGGGTCATCAGAGAGAGTCTGGGTCAGGTCTAGGGTCATCAGGGGGAGTGAGTCAAGTCTAGGGATATCCGGGGGAGAGTGAGTCAGGTCTAGGGTCATCAGGGGGAGAGTGAGTCAGGTCTAGGGTCATCAGAGAGAGTGAGTGAGGTCTAGGGTCATCAGAGAGAGTCTGGGTCAGGTCTAGGGTCATCAGAGAGTCTGGGTCAGGTCTAGGGTCATCATGGAGAGTCTGGGTCAGGTCTAGGGTCATCAGAGAGAGTGAGTCAGGTCTAGGGTCATCAGGGGGAGAGTGAGTCAGGTCTAGGGTCATCAGAGAGAGTCTGAGTTAGGTCAAGGGTCATCAGGGGGAGAGTGAGTCAGGTCTAGGGTCATCAGGGGGAGTGAGTCAGGTCTAGGGTCATCAGAGAGAGTCTGGGTCAGGTCTAGGTTCATCATGGAGAGTCTGGGTCAGGTCTAGGGTCATCAGGGGGAGAGTGGGTCAGGTGTAGGGTCATCAGAGAGAGTGGGTCAGGTCTAGGGTCATCAGAGAGAGTGGGTCAGGTCTAGGGTCATCAGAGAGAGTGGGTCAGGTCTAGGGTCATCAGGGGGAGTGAGTTATGTCTAGGGTCATCAGGGGGAGTGAGTCAGGTCTAGGGTCATCAGAGAGAGTCTGAGTTAAGTCTAGGGTCATCCGGGGGAGTGAGTCAGGTCTAGGGTCATCAGAGAGTGTCTGGATCAGGTCTAGGGTCATCAGGGGGAGTCTGGGTCAGGTCTAAGGTCATCAGAGAGAGTCTGGGTCAGGTCTAGGGTCATCGTGGGAGTGAGTCAAGTCTAGGGTCATTGGGGGAGTGAGTCAGGTCTAGGGTCATCAGGGGGAGAGTGAGTCAAGTCTAGCGTTATCAGGGGGAGTGAGTCAGGTCTAGGGTCATCAGGGTGAGAGTGAGTCAGGTCTAGGGTCATCAGGGGGTGTGAGTCAGGTCTAGGGTCATCAGGGGGTGTGAGTCAGGTCTAGGGTCATCAGAGAGAGTCTGGGTCAGGTCTAGGGTCATCAGGGGGAGTGAGTCAGGTCTAGGGTCATCAGAGAGAGTCTGGGTCAGGTCTAGGGTCATCAGGGGGAGTGAGTCAAGTCTAGGGATATCCGGGGGAGAGTGAGTCAGGTCTAGGGTCATCAGGGGGAGAGTGAGTCAGGTCTAGGGTCATCAGAGAGAGTGAGTGAGGTCTAGGGTCATCAGAGAGAGTCTGGGTCAGGTCTAGGGTCATCAGAGAGTCTGGGTCAGGTCTAGGGTCATCATGGAGAGTCTGGGTCAGGTCTAGGGTCATCAGAGAGAGTGAGTCAGGTCTAGGGTCATCAGGGGGAGAGTGAGTCAGGTCTAGGGTCATCAGAGAGAGTGAGTGAGGTCTAGGGTCATCAGAGAGAGTCTGGGTCAGGTCTAGGGTCATCAGAGAGTCTGGGTCAGGTCTAGGGTCATCATGGAGAGTCTGGGTCAGGTCTAGGGTCATCAGAGAGAGTGAGTCAGGTCTAGGGTCATCAGGGGGAGAGTGAGTCAGGTCTAGGGTCATCAGAGAGAGTCTGGGTCAGGTCTAGGTTCATCATGGAGAGTCTGGGTCAGGTCTAGGGTCATCAGGGGGAGAGTGGGTCAGGTGTAGGGTCATCAGAGAGAGTGGGTCAGGTCTAGGGTCATCAGAGAGAGTGGGTCAGGTCTAGGGTCATCAGGGGGAGTGAGTTATGTCTAGGGTCATCAGGGGGAGTGAGTCAGGTCTAGGGTCATCAGAGAGAGTCTGAGTTAAGTCTAGGGTCATCCGGGGGAGTGAGTCAGGTCTAGGGTCATCAGAGAGTGTCTGGATCAGGTCTAGGGTCATCAGGGGGAGTCTGGGTCAGGTCTAAGGTCATCAGAGAGAGTCTGGGTCAGGTCTAGGGTCTTTTCTAAGTGCCACTTGATTCTGAGGAGATTCTTTACTACATTAAGAGATAAAAGCTTTTATGAAAACCAGTTTGGACGTTTGTTATTGACACTGTTTAATTCTTGCCTGTGAACAAAGTAGTTTACAGTTAACGTGAGAACATTTTTTCCAGGCTGGAAAAGATAAAACAAGGCACAACAAAGAAGAATTTACTGGTCCTCATAGAACCACTGACCCTCCATCTTCTGACCCAGTGACCACCGATGGAACGGGTCTCAGATCCAGGTGAATATAGATGGAAACGTCGTTGGGCAGGAAGTGTGATTTACTAAAGTTCAGAGGTCACCACTAATCTTGATAATCATCATCAATGACCAGCCCACCAGTTATGTATCACGAGTAATCACAAGTTGCTGGTTCTTCTAGACTCTCTTTCAGGAAGAAGGTATATAGACGACGGAACATCAAGAAGCTGAAGCATCTAGACTTCAGGATGCTGCTACCGGAGGACTCCAACATGGAGGTGCTCTCTACCCTTGGTATGCCCCGAACTGCGTGTGTGTGTGTGTGTGTGTGTGTGTGTGTGTGTGTGTGTGTGTGTGTGTGTGTGTTCTGAAGGTTTATTATTGACACGTGGAGGTAAACGTTTCATCTGACATGTTGTTTTATTGTGTCTGAAAACACAAAGAGCCGGTCCCAGATCAGCGCAGCCATGAGGTGGTGGCTGCTGGTGAGGAAGAGGAGCAGCCAGGTATGTGTCAGCAGTTCAGCAACCACAGCTAACATTTCTACAACTGGAGACGGATTCAGATGTTTGTTCACATCAGAGATCAGAGACTAACTCTGGCTGTTTGGTGTCCAGATAAGGAGGAAGCAGCAGAGAGCCTGGACCTGCCACCTGTGACCACCAAGGAGGAAGAAGAGGAGGGGAAACCACCTCCAGGAAACCATGGACCATTCCAGGTGGACCTGAAAGACCCAGGGACAACAATGCTATCAGGGTAACAGAACCAGGAAGTACACAAAGCCCCTGCTGGGATGGTTGGTCTTAATTTTAGTTACGATAAATAAAAAGGACCCACACTTGTGTAGCACCTTCCTGAGTCAGAGGACTCCAAAGCTGTCCTTCACCCATTCACACGCTGGTGGTGATGAGCTCCACCGTAGCCACGGCTGCCCTGGGACCCACTGACAGAGGAGCCTAAGGTCCTGCTGGTGGTTAATGATGTAACAGGCTGTTGTTTACATACCATCAAAGCCACATAGGCTTTATCAGTGATCGTTGTCCCTCTAACAGAGCCGATACGATGTTCTGTTGATCTTCCCAGAGCTCCTTCTGTGGGTAACAGACCCGATGGTCCTGGGACCAGCGCTCTACAGAAACACGTAGTTCTGAGGGTCCGGTTACTGGAGGACTCTGAGACTGAGGTTCTCTCTGACACCGGTACGTTCTGAACTCTCCTGGTTCCAGAAGATCCACTCATCACACATGTTTTAGTCCTTCTCAGGTCTGCAGACGCGCATATTTCTCAAGTCGATCAACAACACAACTAAACACGCCTGATGAGTCAGGACTAGAGCCCTGCACTGAAGCCCTAGGCCCACGGGTCGGCCCATTCCGAGGGCCGGGCTTCTGGCCAACAACTGTGTAATTACCGCGGACACGGGCCGGGCCGGGCGTCTTTATTTTTAATCAAATTCATTAAAAAAATTGAAACACTTAAACGCAGCAGTAGAGCCCTTTCTTCATCCCGCTCCCGCTGAATCTCTGACCATTACCACCCGCACCCGCAGCATCCATGTCTACTCCCGCTCGCACCCGCAAAACTCGGAGAAATGATTACCTCACAATAAAAGAGATGTATTGAGTTTGCGTCCTCAACATGTCATTTTATAGGTTATCCGCTTTCACCGTGGCGCTCTGTTTCAATCAGGCTGTGCAGCAGGATTTCCCCTCGTAGCGATATTTTCTCTAATTCTGATTGCTTCATGCTATAGATCGAGGGAAAGCTGCTTTTATGTACTTTTAGGAACCGTTGGAATTTTGTCAGTCTGATAAGCCGTTCAAAAGTTATAAATCGGAGCATTTTGGATGACAAACTCAGCACGTCTCTGAATCTGTGTTGTGATTCGTTGCGCTCAAGACAGGGAATCCCGGTGGCTACCGTAATGTATTGTATATGTACGGAAAGCCCCACTTTTAATCTTTTCAGCACTTTTGGAATTTTAATGATATCGTGAACTAGAGCAGGGATCGGCAACCCGTGGCTCTTCCATCCATCTGATGCGGCTCTCTGTGCTTGTAAAATAATGAATGGATATTTAAATAAAATGCTTTATATTTTACTGAATTAATTTTTTATCTGTATGCCAATTCTAAATGTAAAGATTGTCTGCGTAAACCTGAACAGGTCCAACCCGGTCTTACTGTGAGACCGGGTTGACGGGTCACGCTTGTGCGTAATCATATCGGCGCTTTCTGAGCTGAAGAGGATGTGAGATTCTGGGCTTCTCCTCAGACGGCTCCTGGATGTGTCGCCACATTGGAGACAGGAACAAGCGCTATTCAGCCAAAGTTTCATTATCAGGAACATTTTCTAAGTGACAAGTCCAGTGTTTCCCCTAGGAATTTTTCCAGCTGTGGTGGAGGTGGTGTTGGGGGTGGGTATGACACGTCTCACCTTTATGTTAATATTGTTTTTTTTGATGCACTCCACTTTGAACTGCACCAATCCAGCGACTGCTGCATTGTAATAACTAGTATTAAAGGTGAATACACCAATATTTGCACAAGAATAATTTCTGTTTTAAACTCTCAGTGACACACTTTGCAGGGTGGATTTGGCATTTAATTTTTCTTGGCGTCTGGAAAAACATCTTCTTTTGCCCCCTTTATTTGACTCTCTGCCCCCTTTATTTTGGTCCAAGATCATTACTGGGCTGGCCCTATTAAACACGTTCTACACCCCTGCTTAGTAGACTTAATGAAGTATTTTTAAGCCAGTATAAAAATGACTGAAACACAAATTTACATATTTGGCATTATTGACCAATATTTTTGATTTAATTTATTTGTTAAGAACATCAAGATGCATTACAGTGAACATTATAATAAGCTGGGTGGTCACTGTGCGACTTTTTCACTCGTAACACAGCTTCAGCTCAAACTGTACGACTTCAGCGCAGGGCAGATCTCACGAGTCATGCGCTCACTGTACGTCTGGTAGCAACACGTCGGACCTAAAATATGCTAAAAAATAGCAGTTTTTACACAACACGTCAGACTTTTTAGTCTTGTTTTGCCTGTTGTCCTTCGGGAGTGCTGCAGGAGGACACACAGGGATTTATGGGGGTTGGATGAGGAAACGAAATTAAGAAAGTAAATCTGTGTTTTCTGATCAGTTTAATTTGACATGAACACGACAAACACGCTTTCTTGACAATCTTTGTGAGTAAAAACGTGTAGAAATTAAAACGAACAACGTGTGTTATTAGGGAAAGTGGGTGAGCGGAGTTGATGCAGGATTGCGAATGCGCCGTGAGCGGTTCTGATACTTTTTGGGTCGCAGCTGCTCGCTGCGCCGCTTCAACCCTCATGAGGAACGAGATAAATATCAAACACTCCAGAAGTCCGTGCGAGCTCATGATTGCTGATCGGTAGCTGGTCACGTGGTGTTAATGGCCTCTCGTAAACCCCTTTACCCTACACGACGCTCAGCGCAAAACTCGCCCCGATCTTGTGGATTCTCGCACGAGTGGAAAATCTGCTCAAAAACGTGAAAAAGTTGCACAGTGTACGCCCGGCTTTACTGTCTGTGTGTGTGTGTGCATTGATGCCTGGGCCGAGCTGACAGAGCTCCCGGCTGCAGTTTTGTGTGTAGGGAGGGGCGGGCGCTCTATCTGACTGGCCAATCACAAAGCGTGAAGACAGTCAGTTACCCAATGAGGATTTCATTCAGCAAGATTATAGATATTTTCGAGTTTTACACTCGTTGCATGCTCGTATTCGTCAAAAAGGCTTTATCCGTACGCTCATAGCTGTAACCACCCTGCCCTGCCTCCTCCTCCTTGCTACCTGCCGGCTGTGATCACAAGCAACAACACAGTAGTTCCCGCTGCTTCTTCGGGAAACGGCGCAAAAAAAAAAACATCAATAAAACTTGGGATGTTGTAGGCGTGGCGGTGGGATTTCAGCCGTGGCGGCCCGCCACGGCTACGCCTATGTAAGGGAAACCCTGCAAGTCTCTCTGAGAGACAGGGTTTGGAAAACACTCGCTTCAGTGCGAGGAATCTTCCTGCATGCGCTCTGGTTCTGCTACGCGCTCCAAGCCCCTCTCCAAATCTTCAGCTCGCTGTGCACATATGCACTGACAGCGAGCTGCGCTGAGCAGTGTCCAGCTCAGATGGGAATCTTTTCTTGAGTGATTTAGCTACATCTGCGATGTGAGTAGAATAAAATGTCAGTTCGTCTGCATGCGTCGGGGTAATTCTTTTCTTTCTCCGTCAAAATAAACGGTCAAATACGGGAACTATCCGGTCAACACAACACAAGCCCTGCTTTTAACTGTTCTGTTTTCTTGTGGAAATTGTTGGAAAGAGATAAAATTTAACTTGATTACCGCCAGAGCCAGTGCGCCGTTATCTCCGTGACAGTAAATGAGGGAAAAACAAATTGATCGGATCCTGCACGTCTTTTAACACATCGGTCAGGATGGACGCACTTTGTTTTCATTTAATTGGTTAAAAAAAAGTCGGGCTCGGGTCGGGCCAGAGAATCCTGAAAACTTTTTCGGACCGGGTCGGTCTGGGGCTCCACCCCCTCGGGCCAGGCCGGACACGGGCTCAGATTTCAGGCCCGTGCAGGGCTCTAGTCAGGACATCAATGAGCGGTTTCACAGAGAAACAGATTTTTACCTGATGAGCCAGTCGGATCTTCGTGAATCTGAACATTATCACTCATGGACTCACCATCTTGGCTCACGATGAGGAAAGCTGTTGTTGGTTTAGCCTCCAGGAAACAGCGGAGAACGTCTAAGCTAGTAGAAGCTAACCATTAGCATTAGCTGTACCACCACACAGCAGAACTCCTCCAGGCTTGTTATATGTGGAGTTAAGGAGCAAACAGAGTCAGTGATAGTCGTGTTGCTGTGAGCCAATCAGAGGAGAGATGTGTGAGTATCATGAGGTACTGATGATTAGGACTTGATCTTTATCTTCATCTAAATGTTTCTCCTAGTGTTTACGACAACTCCAGTCCAGGACCTGAAGTGTCCTTGTGGTCTACAGGAGTCTGACTTCCTGGACCACCTGAGGTCCTCCTTCCCTCAGCTGGCTAACGGAGAACCTTTTGACATCTTCAAAACCAATCGCAACAGGAAGCTTCTTCCTCTGAGAGTAAAAGCTCTGACTCCAGAGGAGATCTACTCCACCGTAGAATCCACCGGATACTCCACCCTCTACATTCGCCTGAAGGTTGTTGGACTGATCCTTAATTTCTCATTCACACTCCAGAAAATCAGAATCAACTTTGTCATTGTCCTGGAGCGTATGACACATGACATGTACAACAAAGAAGGAGACAGGCAGCCAAGAGCGGCCATTTTCAGTTGGAAAAGGGTTACATGAGGATGGGGGGGAGCGTTACAGAGTTACCCCCAACAGGTAGTGGCGCCCCCCCGTTGAGTTGTTCCACGGTCAAATGTTTCTGCATGTGGGCAAACAGACCTGTTCACAAGTCACACTTTACCATGTCAGGTGTAAAGGATGGGTAGTTTACATCTTACTTATGAACCATAAAATGTGAGATTCCATAGAAATATGAAACATCAATCTGATGGATCTTTGAATATTACAACCAGTAGATCAGAAATTTTTATTGCAGGGATTAAGTGACACTTTGTATTAACTCTGAGAAAAGAGAGAGTCAGGTTTAAAATAGTTAAGAAATTTATTTCTACACAATTTAAACAAGACTACTTTAACACTCTGTGTACTGACGGACTAGGATGGAGTGAGACATGAGAGAATGTGTGTGTGTGCAGTGTGGTCATCAGAACCTTAGGATCCGGAGAAGCATTTAGTTCAGAGTGGGAGTGAATGTTTCGCTCTAAACTTTAGTAGGAGATTTATAACGCACATGACATGCCATCTGTCGGTCTACATACCCCAGGGGAAGCCTCCGTTTAGATCCAGAATGTCGAGGTCCTCTTGGACCCTCCTTGGTACCAAAGCCGGTAGAAAAGCAGCGGTGCCAACCAAACTAGTCTTGGAATGCTTCCAGGTCACGACAGGTTATCACTGGCATCTCCGAGACCCTGAAGGGGTTGTGAGGTTCAGCTTTTATTCTGAAGGAACCGTTGCGGTCAGGTGTAACTTGCAACAGATTTTATCCAGCTTGTCGAGGTTCTTCATGGCTCAAGATGAGGTCCGGATGGCCGGTCCGAGACTTCTCTAGAACGCTTTGAACTAAAGAAAAGGTGGCGTGTGATAGTTTTTATAATTGTCATATTTTGGTTTACTGGCGAATCAGAATTTGACATGCAAAAGAGGGTTTATACAAACACCACAGTAAACCATGCCTAGCCAGAAACAAATGTTCTGATTGGATCAGACAAAAGGAAATGTGTCGTGTGACTTCAGCATTACGTGTCTTCAGTGTGTAGTGCAAATGCCTAGGATTTTAATTACTAGTAAAATACTACTGATCACAGGATTATAACATCAAGTAATAACATTGTTATTTCACAGATTGATTGAACATTAGATTCACATTATTATTGGTAATAACAAATGTTTGATTATGTGTTTATCAAAAGAGAGTTCTTCTTCGCTTGGTAATGGAGGTGAAGCAGTTCAGATGAGCAGAGCGCATGGAAGACCTTGGCCACTATCTCATGTAGATTAGGCTGTCAGAGACTTTATGTCTCTGCTCAAGCAGACGCAGCAGATCATGACCTTTAGGTCAAAAACAGGACATTCATGACGCTACACAGGTCTAGGGTCATCATGGGGAGTGAGTCAGGTCTAGGATCATCAGAGAGAGTGGGTCAGGTCTAGGGTCATCAGAGGGAGTGAGTCAGGTCTAGGGTCATCAGAAAGAGTCTGTGTCAGGTCTAGGATCATCAGGGGGAGAGTGAGTCAGGTCTAGGGTCATCAGGGGGAGTCTGGGTCAGGTCTAGGATCATCAGAGAGAGTGGGTCAGGTCTAGGGTCATCAGGGGGAGTGGGTCAGGTCTAGGGTCATCAGGGGGAGTGGGTCAGGTCTAGGGTCATCAGGGGGAGAGTGAGTCAGGTCTAGGATCATCAGAGAGAGTGGGTCAGGTCTAGGATCATCAGGGGGAGAGTGAGTCAGGTCTAGGGTCATCAGGGGGAGTCTGGGTCAGGTCTAGCATCATCAGAGAGAGTGGGTCAGGTCTAGGGTCATCAGGGGGAGTCTGGGTCAGGTCTAGGGTCATCAGAGAGAGTGGGTCAGGTCTAGGGTCATCAGGGGGAGTCTGGGTCAGGTCTATGGTCATCAGGGGGAGTCTGGGTCAGGTCTAGGGTCATCAGAGAGAGTCTGGGTCAGGTCTAGGGTCATCAGAGAGATTGGGTCAGGTCTAGGGTCATCAGAGAGAGTGGGTCAGGTCTAGGGTCATCAGGGGGAGTCTGGGTCAGGTCTAGGGTCATCAGGGGGAGTCTGGGTCAGGTCTAGGGTCATCAGAGAGAGTGGGTCATGTCTAGGGTCATCAGGGGGAGTCTGGGTCAGGTCTAGGGTCATCAGAGAGAGTGGGTCAGGTCTAGGGTCATCAGGGGGAGTCTGGGTCAGGTCTAGGGTCATCAGAGAGAGTGGGTCAGGTCTAGGGTCATCAGAGAGAGTGGGTCAGGTCTAGGGTCATCAGGGGGAGTCTGGGTCAGGTCTAGGGTCATCAGGGGGAGTCTGGGTCAGGTCTAGGGTCATCAGAGAGAGTCTGGGTCAGGTCTAGGGTCATCAGAGAGAGTGGGTCAGGTCTAGGGTCATCAGAGAGAGTGGGTCAGGTCTAGGATCATCAGAGAGAGTGGGTCAGGTCTAGGGTCATCAGAGGGAGTGGGTCAGGTCTAGGGTAATCAGAGGGAGTGAGTCAGGTCTAGGGTCATCAGAGAGAGTCTGTGTCAGGTCTAGGATCATCAGGGGGAGAGTGAGTCAGGTCTAGGGTCATCAGGGGGTGTCTGGGTCAGGTCTAGGATCATCAGAGAGAGTGGGTCAGGTCTAGGGTCATCAGGGGGAGTGGGTCAGGTCTAGGGTCATCAGGGGGAGTGGGTCAGGTCTAGGGTCATCAGGGGGAGAGTGAGTCAGGTCTAGGATCATCAGAGAGAGTGGGTCAGGTCTAGGATCATCAGGGGGAGAGTGAGTCAGGTCTAGGGTCATCAGGGGGAGTCTGGGTCAGGTCTAGCATCATCAGAGAGAGTGGGTCAGGTCTAGGGTCATCAGGGGGAGTCTGGGTCAGGTCTAGGGTCATCAGAGAGAGTGGGTCAGGTCTAGGGTCATCAGGGGGAGTCTGGGTCAGGTCTAGGGTCATCAGGGGGAGTCTGGGTCAGGTCTAGGGTCATCAGAGAGAGTCTGGGTCAGGTCTAGGGTCATCAGAGAGAGTGGGTCAGGTCTAGGGTCATCAGAGAGAGTGGGTCAGGTCTAGGGTCATCAGGGGGAGTCTGGGTCAGGTCTAGGGTCATCAGGGGGAGTCTGGGTCAGGTCTAGGCTCATCAGAGAGAGTGGGTCAGGTCTAGGGTCATCAGGGGGAGTCTGGGTCAGGTCTAGGGTCATCAGAGAGAGTGGGTCAGGTCTAGGGTCATCAGGGGGAGTCTGGGTCAGGTCTAGGGTCATCAGGGGGAGTCTGGGTCAGGTCTAGGGTCATCAGAGAGAGTGGGTCAGGTCTAGGGTCATCAGGGGGAGTCTGGGTCAGGTCTAGGGTCATCAGGGGGAGTCTGGGTCAGGTCTAGGGTCATCAGGGGGAGTCTGGGTCAGGTCTAGGGTCATCAGAGAGAGTGAGTGAGGTCTAGGATCATCAGAGAGAGTGGGTCAGGTCTAGGGTCATCAGAGAGAGTGGGTCAGGTCTAGGGTCATCAGGGGGATTCTGGGTCAGGTCTAGGGTCATCAGGGGGAGTCTGGGTCAGGTCTAGGGTCATCAGAGAGAGTCTGGGTCAGGTCTAGGGTCATCAGAGAGAGTGGGTCAGGTCTAGGGTCATCAGAGAGAGTGGGTCAGGTCTAGGGTCATCAGGGGGAGTCTGGGTCAGGTCTAGGGTCATCAGGGGGAGTGTGGGTCAGGTCTAGGGTCATCAGAGAGAGTGGGTCAGGTCTATGGTCATCAGGGGGAGTCTGGGTCAGGTCTAGGGTCATCAGAGAGAGTGGGTCAGGTCTAGGGTCATCATGGGGAGTCTGGGTCAGGTCTAGGGTCATCAGGGGGAGTCTGGGTCAGGTCTAGGGTCATCAGGGGGAGTCTGGGTCAGGTCTAGGGTCATCAGAGAGAGTGAGCCAGGTCTAGGGTCATCAGGGGGAGTCTGGGTCAGGTCTAGGGTCATCAGAGAGAGTGGGTCAGTTCTAGGGTCATCAGGGGGAGTCTGGGTCAGGTCTAGGGTCATCAGGGGGAGTCTGGGTCAGGTCTAGGGTCTTTTATAAGTGCCACTTGATTCTGAGGAGATTCTTTACTACATTAAGAGATAAAAGCTTTTATGAAAACCAGTTTGGACGTTTGTTATTGACACTGTTTAATTCCTGCCTGTGAACAAACTAGTTTACAGTTAACGTGAGAACATTGTTTACAGGCTGGAAAAGATAAAACAAGGCACAACAACGAAGAATTTACTGGTCCTCAAAGAACCACTGACCCTCCATCTTCTGACCCAGTGACCACCGTTGGAACGGGTCTCAGATCCAGGTGAATATAGATGGAAACGTCGTTGGGCAGGGAGTGTGATTTACTAAAGTTCAGAGGTCACCACTAATCTAGATAATCATCATCAATGACCAGCCCACCAGTTATGTATCACGAGTAATCACAAGTTGCTGGTTCTTCTAGACTCTCTTTCAGGAAGAAGGTATATAGACGACGGAACATCAAGAAGCTGAAGCATCTAGACTTCAGGATCCTGCTACTGGAGGACTCCAACATGGAGGTGCTCTCTACCCTTGGTATGCCCCGAACTGCTTGCATGTGTGTGCGTGCGTGTGTGTGTGTGAACACCACATACACTATACTACAAATGCTATCCCTGCAGCTGATGAACTGTTGGGAAAATGTTGCTCACCTGTCACAAAGCCTGTACTTTAAATCCAGGCAATGAAAGAGAAACCCACAGAAATAACTTGAGTCTGACGTTAACCAAGTCAGACATTGCTTTTTCACCATGCTTCAAACTCATGGAACAGGCCTGGACATGAATCATGGTACTCCTGACTAAAAGAGTGAGTCGAGGCATGGGTGGAGACATATTTCATCCACACTTCCTGTTGGGAAAACACTTCTGATAGAGGTGTCACCTGATGGACCAAGAGAGCGGCACTTACGCAGAGATAGACCATCTATAGAAAGTCTAAAAACGAGTTATTAACGAATGTGTGCGCACTCGCACGTGCACGCAAGCACACACTCACAGCAGACTTACCGCTCAGGAGAAGAGATCCTTTACCAGCCAGCATGTTTCAGCTCCTTCTAAAGATTGTCAACGGGACTGAGGTCAGGGCTCATAGAAGGCCGTTTTAGAATAGTCCAGTTTTTTCTCTTGGCCACTCTTGGGTGTGTGTAGCTGTGTGTTTTAGGTCATTGTCCTGTTGCAAGACCCATGACCTGTGACTGAGACCAAGCACGCATTCACTACAATCTCGCTCCCGTGGTGCGCTCTGCTCACACACAACAGAACTGCAACTTCTGTGGGTTAAAACATCTGGTTTGTGCAAATCAACACTTGATACTGGAGCTAATTCAGTTGTTGAAGTTATGTGTACCTAACTTGCCTATTGCAAAAATAAACAATCAATGATGAACAAGAGTCTGCTTCTAGACCTGCAGAAAAGGGACACACAACAATACAACAGGATCAGGCTATCACTGCATCAACCTGATGAGGAAATAAAAAATCAACATTGTTTTACTGAAGAATCACGATAATAAATCACAGTGCATTAAGTGCCAACCACAGCCTTAAGACATGTGTTGAACGTGCCCAAGTCCATACTTTTGAGAGCACCATGTGAGCACCTGTGTGTGTACACGCGCTTGTTTATGTAAGGTTTCTCTATAGGAGCGTCCAATAGAGAGTGTGAGGGACCACAGATCTGCCCCCCAAAGATGCGCAGGAGATGGAGGGAGCTCCAAGTCTCCGAGATCCAGGAGCTTCCCCACAGCCCAGGGACACTGTACCCAGAGAAGCCCCTAACCCCCCTCAGGAGACGCAGAGGATTGCCCCGGGGGGCCACAACCAGCAGCCGGCAGAGTCCCGGGACATATCAGCGGCAAGCCTACAGGCTCGCCCGCAGCCTCCCACCCCCAAGCTGGCCGAGCCCGGGACCCAGCGACCCGGGACCCAGGGGCAACCTTCCCCGCCGGGGACCCAGCAGAGCCCAGGGACCCAGATCCCATCAGGCAGCCACGGGGATCTATCAGGCAGACGGAAAAAATCTTAAACCTCTGACCCGGGAGCCGCAAACACTCAGGCAGACCAAGGCACCACACTCCACACCAATTGTGGCAGAGGGAGGCGAAGATGTGTAGCCGCACAAGAAGTCCCAAGAGGGGATGAGTCAAGACCCCACCTGACATATACAGTCATACACAAACACAGTCACACACTCCCTCCCTCATGCTCACACATACACATACAAACAAAGACTTACAAAAATGCACGCCGGACACCCACTCATGCTCCCCATACACACCCTATTCACTCTGGTCCCGGTACTGCTGCACATTGGGTACAACCATCACCGGTTCCCAGAGTTTGACCCTTTCTGCTGGGGTGCTGATGAGCAGGCTCCCCCGCCCAACGCTGAGCACAGCAACCCACCACCCCAGACCCCAACCAGACGGCCGGATCTCCCTCCTAGCCTCCAGCCCCAGGAAGCCAAGCAACAACAGAGGTGTGCTAAGACCCCAGTCTCCCTCCTCCTTCTCCAATATGTTGGTGCGTGTTGATGAGGTGTATTCCATGGCTGTGGTGAGCAGGCAGTGCGGGCATCGTCTGGCCTATGCCAGCTGATGCAACCATACCACCCCACTTCCCCCCTCAGCCCTCTGTGTCTAAGAGCAGTTTAAAATTGGAAATGGGCACCGGCACTTGGGATGAGGCTGAACGATCCCTTTGCCAAATGTCGTTGAATGTGCTCACTCCCAAGGCCCTAAGTGCGTGTTTGCGTGGAATGTCGTTGATGGAAGTGTTTAATATGCAAATAAAATTGGGGGGCAGGTTGCCACAGGAATGCAGAAATGGGATCCATACCCGCACCCCCTGACTTGTCCACATAATTTTTTAAGAAACCTGTAGGAGCCAATATTGTTTTGGTTTAGATTATCTTATGGTCTAAGTTTATTTTGATAATGTTTTATGTACATTTCAGTTTATTGTACTATGGTTTGTATTTCCTTTGACCACTGGTGGCACTGCGGAGCCTATAAAGGTGTTGAGGTGGCAGTGCATTGGCGTTTTGTGGGTGACGGGAGGTCACACGGTTTTTACCGCTTCGTTTGGTTTCATATGCCACATCTAATTTGCCGTTATAACTTTCATCATTTACATAAACCTGGACAAGAAATAGCCATTCTGGACCCAGCTTGTGATCGTCATCATATTCAATAAATGGGACAATAAACCCAAACCCGCTTTCTGCCTGGACAATATTGTTGAAGCGAGTCATTGCCTCCACCCGCACCCGAGGGTGACTAAAAGTGGGACTTGATAGTCACTACAACAAGTAAAAACCTGGACCTGTCTGGAATTGGAGGAAGTTGCATCATCTGGAGCTCATCAGGAAAAGTTTGGCAGGTGCCACACCCGCAGCGCTGTTTACCTGGAGGTTGGATTGAGGCGTCAGCACACATCGATCCTTTGTTGGGACTCCACATCAAAGCAATCTAAAAGGTTTGAGGCACAAGCAAAACATTCAAGACATCTCCGGTGAGTGCAGTCATCCTTTTGGGTTAAAGACGCTGGAGTGGAGTTTTGTTGCACTGCGGCCTGACAAGAGCTGATTGCCTGCATAAGAACCGCTAAGGATATTGATGGCTTCCACTCATTAAACTGTTCATTCATGTGCTGATGTCTGGAAAACACAAACATGACTGTAGCTCGTGCTTTGTGGCAAATTAAAGCGCAGCAGTGCGTAAAATAGCGCGAGGAAGAGCGCCACAATCATCCGTGTTTGCTGAATGGTGTTTTATGGATGAAATGGATTTGGATAATGATGAAACCAATTCTAGAGACAATGAAAATGAAAAAAGACAAAGGAAGTTTTCTGTTAAAGGTTTGGCTTTTGAGATTGAAAAACTGCAAAAGGAGAGGTCTTATTTATTTAAACAAGCCAATAAAATAAAGGCAAAAATAAAAGACCTTTGGTCATCATCTGCCAATTTTATTGCCGTCAAACAACATCTTAAAGGGTTCAGTGCATTATGTAAAAATGCATCTTCACTTCATGACACTTTATTAAAGGAGATTTCTTTACCCGAAGATGAACAACAGAGACAAAATGCATGGTTTAAAGATAAAAGTGCTGCAAATGAAGCGTTCGTGAATGAAGTGTGCAGTTGGTTAAAAGAAAACGAAGTTTTGAATGAAAATGAAAATGCTGATGATGAGCCCGACGCGAAGGTTGGGGTGAAAGAATATGATGAACATTTTGACACTGTTAAACCTGAAGATAGTGCGTCAAATGTATCCAAACGGTCGCGCAAAAGGCAGCCGTGCGTCCGGATCAAGCACTTCATCCGCTTGTAAATTGGTCATGGCAGAGAAAGCAGCATTGATTGAGAAAGCTGCTGCTCTGAAGAGGAGACACGAGCTGGAAGAGCAAGAGGAAAAACACAGACTGGAAGTGGAGAAATTAAGAAAGCAAAAGGAACAAATGGAGTTGGAAGCACAAATAGCTGCTGCATCAATAAAACTCTGTTTTGGAAGGAAGTGATGTGGGAAGACGATCCTGCTCAAATGGCATGAACTCTTATGTGAGCAAAGGACTCAGAGAACAAAAGCAAGCTGAGTTTAATCCTCAAGCAAAGGAATTTGTGCCAAAAGGCGCCGTCTTTCAGCTGAGCTCAACAGCGCCCCTAGTGTCTGAATCAGATGCTCGACCTAAAACTGTCTCACTCAAGTCAAGTGCACAGACTCAATTCAAGCAACAAAAGTTAAAGATGTCCATTCAAAGTGAATCATTACAACCACAATCTTCCCCAAACAAGCAGCAGAACCCTGTGCAAATATTTTCACCTGTGGACAACAATGCAATTTGTGCCATTATGCAAAAGCAAAATGAAATCACAGCAATGCTTGTTCAGCACCAATTATCAGCTACGTTGCCCCAGCGAGAAATTCCAATTTTTGATGGTAATCCACTACAATGTATTTCATTTCTTAAAGCCTTTGAACATTGTGTGGAGGGAAAAACCAGCAGCGATCAAGACTGTTTGTACTTTCTCGAACAATACACCAGGGGACAGCCAAGAGAGCTTGTGAGGAGCTGCATGCATATGCCATCACAGCAAGGTTACCAAAAGGCAAAAGGTCTTCTAATGGAGCACTTTGGCAATGAACATAAAATAGCAACAGCATATATGGACAAAGTCATTGGTTGGCCAGCAATTAAAACTGAAGAAATTCAAGCTTTGCAAGACTTTGCTTTGTTTTTAAGAGGATGCTGTAATGCTATGTCTGACATACATTATATGGAAGAACTTAATCTACCATCCTACATGAGGCAAGTGATCCTGAAATGGCCCTACAAGCTACGTGAAAAATGGAGAACCGCAGCCTGTGAACTACAGGAACGGCGAGGTTTCAGGGCAACATTTACTGACATGGTCACCTTCCTTGAGCATCAAGTAAAAATATTGTCTCATCCTTTATTTGGAGACATTTCTGAAACAAGACCGAGTCTTGTAGCAAAAGAAGTACCAAGAAACAAAGGCTCAATAAAGACCAACATCAAAGGAAGCACCTTTGTTACAGCTATAGCACCCGGTGACTGTGCTATATCTTCCCCACCTGTGCTACCAAAGCCACAAGTGCAGCCAGTAGCTACCAGAAGTCCAGCTCCAGAAGCCTGTCCATATTGTGATCAATCTCATTCCTTATTGAAATGTCCAAAGCTAACCAGGATTCCTCAAAAGGATAAAATTGAATTTCTGAAAGGAAAAGGAATATGCTTTGGATGTTTTAAGGTTGGCCACATGAGTAAGGAATGTAAAAATCGCCTCACTTGTGATAAATGCAACCGGAAGCATCCTACAATCCTACATTCTGACAAAGAACAAGCTAAAGCCCAAGAAACACCTGTCAGCAGTGCCCTCGTGTCTCATAAGGCTGGTGTTTGTACTGATGGAGGAGAGGACTGTACCCTTTCAATTGTTCCCATCAAAATAAAATCTAAGAAAGGAGATCAAGTGTTTCAAACTTATGCCTTCTTAGATTCTGGAAGCACAGCAACTTTCATTACCAACAAATTAAAGAAGAAACTAAACGTGCAAGGCCCAAAGATTAACATCTTGCTGCGTACTATGGGCCAAGAAAGGTTGGTGAGCAGCTGTTGTGCCACTGGACTGGAAATTTCGGGGCTACAAAGTAACAGCTTTGTAGAACTTCCTGAAGTTTACACACAAGAAGCCATTCCAGTCTCTCGGAACAACATTTCTCTTCAGAGAGATGTTGAAAAATGGGACTATCTCAGCACCATCAGGATTCCGGAACTGAATGCTGATGTCGAGCTTTTGATTGGAATGAATGCATCAAACCTCATGGAGCCATGGGAGATAATCAACAGTCAAGACAACGGACCATATGCTGTCAGAACCCCACTTGGATGGGTCATTAATGGTCCCCTGCGAAGCAGTGTAACTACCCAGAAAGGTTGTACAACTGTTAACGCAAACAGGATTTCTGTTGCCAAACTGGAGGAGCTGTTGATATCTCAATACAATCAAGACTTTGATGAAAAAACACTGGAAGAAAAACATGAAATGTCAATCGAGGACAAGAAATTTATGGAAATAATGGAAAATTCAGCTTGTATGCTGGATGGACATTATTGTTTGGACTTGCCCTTCAAAAAGGATGACATTATCATGCCCAACAACTGGTGTGTTATGGCACAACGCCTTCAGACCCTCAAAAGAAAGTTGAGAGGAACAAAGTCTACAAAAAGGAATATACAGCATTCATGATGGATCTTATCGACAAAGGCTATGCAGAAAAAGTACCTCTTGACCAAATGGAACCCAAAGAAGGAAAAGTCTGGTATCTTCCACACCACAGTGTCTATCACCCAAGGAAAAAGACTTTGAGAGTGGTTTATGACAGTGGAGCAAGCTACAAAGGCTCTTCATTGAATGGCCAGCTTCTACAGGGGCCGGACCTTACCAACACTCTCTTCGGTGTTCTTACCTTTTCCTGGCACCATTCACTTTGTTACCAAAGTTATTGCTGCAGGAGATGTGCAGGAGAAAAATGTCTTGGGATGAGCCTGTCTCCCAGACAATGTCACAGCAATGGACTTCATGGCTTCAAGATCCGCAAAAAAAAAAAAAAAAAAAAAAAAAAGGAAACTTGGAAGAATAATCAACACTTATCCTGACAAAAATGGACTTGTTCGAGCAGTTCAGCTGAAAACGAAGACCGGACAGCTGGAGAGGCCCATCTCAAAGGTCTGCCTTCTCCAAGCAGCTGTATAAGATGGAGAGAAGATCCTGCATGGGACTACTTGGGACATTTTTTGGCTCCTTATTTTGTTATTTATTGTGCTGTCTACACAATAGGGGCCGGTGTGTAGGAGCCAATATTGTTTTGGTTTAGATTATCTTATGGTCTAAGTTTATTTTGATAATGTTTTATGTACATTTCAGTTTATTGCACTACGGTTTGTATTTCCTTTGACCACTGGTGGCACTGCGGAGCCTATAAAGGTGTTGAGGTGGCAGTGAATTGGCGTTTTGTGGGTGACGGGAGGTCACACGGTTTTTACTGCTTCGTTTGGTTTCATATGCCACATCTAATTTGCTGTTATAACTTTCATCATTTACATAAACCTGGACAAGAAATAGCCATTCTGGACCCAGCTTGTGATCGTCATCATATTCAATAAATGGGACAATAAACCCAAACCCGCTTTCTGCCTGGACAATATTGTTGAAGCGAGTCATTGCCTCCACCCGCACCCGAGGGTGACTAAAAGTGGGACTTGATAGTCACTACAAAACCCTTTGATAGCCTCGCCCCTGTTCCTTTGACTTACGCCCTGAATCACACATTTGTTGTACTTCAGTGTAAATGAAAAGTTTTTAGTGTATGAAGGTGTGGTGTTGTTGAGGAAGAGCGTCACTGCAGTACCGTGTAATCTATCATTGTCAACAGAGGTTTTCATGGAAGCCGTCTTCAGCAGGCAGGTTAGGATGTATTTGTACCTTCTATACAGAAATCCTTCAAAGCCCAGGAAACTTTAGGTTTTATCTTATCGAATGTTTGAAATGGTTTATCATCATTTCTCTAGTTCACTTTTTGTTTCTTTCTGTTAAAGTGTATCAGAAAACTCCAGCCCGGTACCTGAAGTGTCCTCGTGGTCTACAGGAGTCGGAATTCCTTGACCTTCTGAGGTCCTCCTTCCCTCAGCTGGCTAACGGAGAACAGTTTGACCTCTTCACAGCTAATCAACGCAAGAGGCTGCTGCCTCTGAGGGTGAACTTTCTGACTCCAGAGGAGATCTACTCCACCATCACATCCATCGGATATTCATACCTCTATATTCGCCTGAAGGTTGGTGACTGAAAGGTTTCATACAAGATTTAACAACTGCAGAGGTGATGAAGATGCTGCTAGCTGGGTCTAGCCTGAGCTAGTTTACTTTTTGTTTTCTTTATGATTTGTTTTCATCTGTTTAAGTTTATCAGAAAATTATAATTTTTTTTTCATTTCAACACAGTTCAGTCAGTATAAGGTTTCCTGTATAATGAACATCGAGTCACTGATCTGTTGTGTGATGACCGAAAAGTATGGCGGTGTGAATAAAAGGTTCATTTGGGACTGCTCTCTTTCAGGGAGGCCAGAAATCAGAGGAGAAAATGGAAGATGGTTTTCCTCGAGTCACCAGCCCTCTTCCTGTCCACCCACTGCTCCAGAAGAAGACAGAAACTCGGCTCCACACAAGGTACACCACATGTAGAAGGAACTCACTGGCTCTAGGTCATAGGTCAACACCATGAACATCACAATAGTAATGTAATAACCACAACCGCGGCAGTCTTCTGATGAGAGCATCAGCATCACAACGGAAATGAGCATGAGCAGTATTTCATTGGCTATTTGATGCGTCAATCAACAACACACGGTGCTGCGATTGGCTCAAGCTGCACAGGTGAAAATACGGGTGGTGCTTCTGACCTAGCACTAACACCCCCCGCCGTGGTCTAGATATGTGGACAAAGATGACTGAGGACTGGATTAAGACTTTTGCACGGGACCTTTCAAGAGATTAACTTCTATTTAGCTTCCATATTTGTTTGTTTGCTGATGTAGAAAATAAACACAAATAGAGCTGCACGATATTAGGAAAACCTGCGATATGCTGTGACAGTGATTAATATTGAGATGACGATATTACTTGCGATAAATAAAAACTTAACTCAGGAACAAAAATAATCAAAAACAAAGAAAATAAAAAAAATGACAAATAAATGATAAAAATGAGAAAAGCAACAGATGTGGGGAACGGGAAAAAGAAAATGAGCAAGAAAAGGCAATCAGTGGGTTCTGGGAAAAGCAGAATCAGCAGAAAGAGCAGAACAAAGCTAATTCAGATGTTTGCTAACCATCAGAATTCGGTGCCGTCCACCTCGGGGGGCGGACATCTAACCTATGAGAACCCACCCAATTGGCCAAATGGGTGAAGAGCTCTATTTGATTAGTTAAAAAACATCAAGCTTCCGTTTGATTGACAGAATGCATTATGTGTAGCAAACATCTGAGCTGACCATTCATTGCGATATTTATCTGTTCTTTGCGATATGCATATTGCGCATGCTGATATCACGATTACGATATATTCACGATATATTGTTCAGCCCTAAACACAAATGTAATTTTTTTCCTTTGCAGCCCTCTTCACATTGCTGACAGTAGAGGAGACGGTTTGTCCAGCAGCTCAGCGTCAAAACCAACGGACCTGCAGACAGAAGCAGGAGCTGAGAACAATATGGACCCCAGTAATGAGGAGGATGACAGGAACCTGGACTCTGAACAGCAGACACACAGAATATCTAAAAGAAAGAGCCCTGAAAGGAAGGTAAAGAAAGGCGAAGGAGCAGAGAGGGATTGTAAAGTGTGTGGAGTCGCGTTCAGGCACCTGGCGGCCTTGATCCGACACTCCTGGAGTCACGTGGAGCAGCAGCAGGATCTCTGTGGAGTCTGTGAGGAGACGTTTGATTCTGTGGAAAAACTAAAGGAACATCTAAGAACTCATCTGAAAGTTTACAGATGTGCCTTCTGCGGAATAAATTTTGTCTCGATTTTACGTCTCAAGAAACACACGACTAGACACACAGTGAAACGTGTGGCTAGATGTCAGGTTTGTAAGCAGACCTTCACTAATATGTCTGACCTGCACCATCATCGTCAGGTTCACAGGAAAGAGAAACCACACCAATGTCACATTTGTCTGAGGTCCTTTAATCTGAAGGACAGGCTCTCAGTCCAGAGAGGGGATTTCACCAAAGAAGGCAAATACACTTGTGACGTTTGTAACAAGTCCTCAAAACCTTCAGCCTGTGATCCAGGACCGCTTGATCCACTCAGCAGGCTGGGTCCACATCTGCAAAGTCTGAAAGAAACGCTGTAAGTGTTAGCAGAGCTCAACATTCCCGGGTTGTCATCATCAGGGTTGACGGAGAAAACACCATACGGACGCGTCAGCTGTCATTCACAAGAGGAGGAGTTATTGTTCCAGTCACGTCTTTTATGCAGTGCTGAAAGCAATCTCATTGGTTGTCACATCAGGTAAAGCAAATAATCAATAGAGCAAGAAACTTTGACAAATGAGAACAAAACATAAACATAAATACATAAACTTATTCGGAGTGCAAATAAGCAACTCAACAATAAGCTATAACTATAGTTATAGCTATATAACTATAGTTATATAGCTATAACTATAGTTATATAACTTTAGTTATAGCTATATAACTATAGTTATATAGCTATAACTATAGTTATATAACTTTAGTTATATAACTTTAGTTATATAACTATAGTTATATAACTAAAGTTATATAACTATAGTTATATAACTAAAGTTATATAACTATAGTTATAGCTATATAACTATAACTATAGTTATATAGCTATAACTATAGTTATATAACTATAACTATAGTTATAGCTATATAACTATAGTTATAGTTATATAGCTATAACTATAGCTATATAACTATAACTATAGTTATATAACTATAGTTATAGTTACATAACTATAGTTATATAACTATAACTATAGTTATATAACTATAGTTATAGTTATATAACTATAGTTATATAACTATAACTATAGTTATATAACTATAGTTATAGTTATATAGCTATAGTTATAGCTATATAACTATAGTTATATAGCTATAACTATAGCTATATAACTATAGTTATAGCATTTTAGCTACGAACCACTCCAGCGAAAGCCGGAGACCATGTTCCGTTGAAGCCAACAGGACCACATCATTTGCCAAAAGCAGAGACTCAAACCTTAGGCCACCAAAATGGATGCTCTCGACGCCTTGGCTGTGCCTAGAAATTCTGTCCATAAAAGGTATGAACAGAATTGGTGACAAAGGGCAGAGTTGGAGAAGTCCCAACTCTCAAACGAGCCTGACTTACTGCCGGCAAAGCAGACTAAGCTGTGACACTGTTCACATAGAGAACTAATATCCCGTATCAGAAGGCCTGGTACCCCATACTCCCAGAGTACCTTCCACAGGAACACCTCCAAATCCTCAAAAAACGTAGGTTGATTGGGTGAACTCCCACCCACCCTCCAGGACCCCCCTAAGGGTATAGAGCTGGTCCAGTGTTCCACGGCCAGCACTAAAACCACATAGCTCCTCCTGAATCCAAGGTTTGACAGTCTGACGGAGTCGAACCCTCCTCTCCAGAACCCCAGAATAGACCTTACCAGGGAGCCTCAGGAGTGTGATCCACCTGTAGTTGGAACGCACCCTTCGATCCCCCCTTTTAAATAGGGGACCACCACCAATCCCAGCAACAGTATCTGAAAACATTGTGAAGACTTGTAGAAAATGTTGACTTCTGTCATTGCTAACACAGGGTATATAACAAAGTATTGAGATGGACTTTTGTTATTGACCAAATACTTATTTTCCACCATAATTTGCAAATAAATTAAAAAAAAAATGAGACAATGTGATTTTCCAGATTTTTTCCCATCTAGTCGCTCATGGTTGAGGTTTGATGAAAATTACAGGCCTCTCATTTGTTTAAGTGGGAGAACTTGCACAGTTGGTGGCTGATGAAAAAGTTTAGCTCTACTGTTTGTTGTACGTCTATTTAAATGACAAGCGATGTGTGTTTTGACCATGTCTTTCACGTACGTTGAGACTTATCAGTTTGTAAAGATTTGTAATTGTATGACTACGAATCAGACATCGGCACATTGCATTTCACTAAAGAATGTCCTGTGGCCCAGTGTAACTGCTACTTACCACATGTCCCACATGTATTTTTGGACCTGGCATGTCAGTAATGTAATCACTTTTTTTAAGTGATGACTTTACAAAGTCAACTATAAAGTGTGATTAAAAATGAAAACTTTCCCCCTTCTAGTCAGGAGAAAATAATCTTCCTTCGCTAAGTGCAGACTGACCTCATGCCACCAACAGAAAAGCTGTTTTGGGGGAGTTTTGTAACGAAAATGCAAACAGCGCAATAATACCCATTCTGGTCTGTTTTGCTAAATAGGGGTCCTTCTAAAAAAATTTGCATGTTGTGATGAAGTTCATTATTGTCTTTAATGTACTGATAAACATTAGACTTTCATAAATATTAGATTCATTACACACAACTGAAGTAGTTCAAGCCTTTTATTGTTTCTAATATTGATGATACAGCTCATGAAAACCCAAAATTCCTATCTCAAAAAATTAGCATATCATGCAAAGTTTATCTAAACGAGTAATTAACCTAATCATCTGAATCAACTAATTAACTCCAAACACCTGCAAAAGATTCCTGAGGCTTTTAAAAACTCCCAGCCTGGTTCATTACTCAAAACCGCAATCATGGGTAAGACTGCCGACCTGACTGCTGTCCAGAAGGCCATCATTGACACCCTCAAGCAAGAGGGTAAGACACAGAAAGACATTTCTGAACGAATAGGCTGTTCCCAGAGTGCTGTATCAAGGCACCTCAGTGGGAAGTCTGTGGGAAGTAAAAAGTGTGGCAGAACACGCTGCACAACGAGAAGAGGTGACCGGACCCTGAGGAAGATTGTGGAGAAGGACCAATTCCAGACCTTGGGGGACTTGCGGAAGCAGTGGACTGAGTCTGGAGTAGAAACATCCAGAACCACCGTGTACAGGTGTGTGCAGGAAATGGGCGAGAGGTGCTGCATTCCCCAGGTCAAGCCACCTTTGAACCAGAATCAGCGGCAGAAGCGCCTGACCTGGGCTACAGAGAAGCAGCACTGGACTGTTGCTCAGTGGTCCAAGGTACTTTTGTCGGATGAAGGCAAATTTTGCATGTCATTCGGAAATCAAGGTGCCAGAGTCTGGAGGAAGACTGGGCAGAGAATGCCTGTAGTCCAGTGTCAAGTTCCCACAGTCAGTGATGGTCTGGGGTGCCATGTCAGCTGCTGGTGTTGGTCCACTGTGTTTTATCAAGGGCAGGGTCAATGCAGCTAGCTATCAGGAGATTTTGGAGCACTTCATGCTTCCATCTGCTGAAAAGCTCTTTAGAGATGAAGATTTCATTTTTCAGCACGACCCGGCACCTGCTCACAGTGCCAACACCACTGCTAAATGGTTTACTGACCATGGTATTACTGTGCTCAATTGGCCTGCCAACTCTCCTGACCTGAACCCCGTAGAGAACCTGTGGGATATTGTGAAGAGAACGTTGAGAGACGCAAGACCCAACAATCTGGATGAGCTTAAGGCCGCTATCGAAGCATCCTGGGCCTCCATAACACCTCAGCAGTGCCACAGGCTGATTGCCTCCATGCCACGCCGCATTGAAGCAGTCATTTCTGCAAAAGGATTCCCGACCAAGTACTGAGTGCATAACCGAACATAATTATTTGAAGGTTGACTTTTTTTGTATTAAAAACACTTTTATTTTATTAGTCGGATGAAATATGCTTATTTTTTGAGATAGGAATTTTGGGTTTTCATGAGCTGTACGCCCAAATCATCAATATTAGAAACAATAAAAGGCTTGAACTACTTCAGTTGTGTGTAATGAATCTAATATATATGAAAGTCTAATGTTTATCAGTACATAACAGACAATAATGAACTTTATCACAATATGATTATTTTTTGAGAAGGACCTGTAGGTTTTTCTGTTTAAAAAAAAACTTAAAATATGGACTTATAATAAATCTTGTTGCATTTATCAAGTCAAGTCAAATATTCTTTATCAGTACTGTTAGACTTACTTTAAACCTGTTGACTCTCAAGCATTGAGGTTATCTAATTAGAGCGGAGTACATAGGATAAACATATGTGCCTTACCTGGTATGATAGAACTGTCTATTTTGCCCAGCTGTGTGATGCAGGTCTGTTTCTTATCTAGAATAATGAAAACTGATTAAACTAGGTCTAAATCGTATTCAGTTTTGAATTAAATTTTGATGAAATAGAATAGAATAGAAAAGATAGAATAGACTTTATTGATCCCACAGTGAGGACATTCACATGTTACAGCAGCACCAACACTTAGGATAATAATTTGAAGAAAAATGAACACATACTGAGCATTGCATTGATGTTATTGAGTACCAGGATAATGCCAGTACCAGTTGAACTGAGAAGTTTTACACTCTTACTGCAGAGGGGATGAATGACCTATGGTGGTGTTCTGGTTTACATCTGGGATGTCTGTAAATGATACACATTTAAACAGATGATGAGATTATTTCTAACTTGAAAACAGCCTTAACCTGTTATAGTGAAGACATAAGATAGCCTAATAATTAAGTAAGTCAGTCTAACAGTGTGATAAATGCAACAAGACTCGTTACAAGTTCAAATTTAACATTTTTTTGTGTGCTTCTATAAAAGAAGCTGAAACTGGTTTGTTGCAAAACAGGACAGAATGGTTATTATAGCGCTAAGTTCACATTTTCATCACACCTGGCTTCACATCTGCAGCGAGGGAAGACGGTTAGCTGCTAAATAAGCTAGCCAATAGCAGTGATGTGACGTTCACGAACAAATCAAATCTTTTGAACGGTTTTCAAAGTGAATGATGAGAGCGGAGTCCCTGTAGAGAACTGTTCATCTTAACAAACCTCCTCGGAAGTCGGTCAAACTCACCCACTCAAACCCCACCCACCACTGTGACGGACGTAGGAGGAACCATAGAAACACGTGTTTGTATACATATCTCAGGAGGGACGCTAACCAACCCCGTCAACCCCGTGCGCCCTCGCGGACACCGCAGGAAGACGTTGCTCTTGACCCCCCCTCCTGGTAGCTATTCAAGCTCTCCACGTGCGATTTGATAAACAAGATGACAAAATGGCGGACATTAACAAGTTATCTGAGAATGCCTTGTTGATTGCCAGTCTTGCTGAGTCCATTGAGTTCAACACAGCTGAAGTCCGTGATTGTAAACATAAAATTGCGGGCTTGGAGAAGGAAACCTCAACCTTACAGAGAGAAGTTGACGTTCTCAAAGAAAAGGCAAGAGAACGAGACCGGTACTCACGAAGGTGGAATCTAAGGATTAAAGGAATGAAAGAAGGCATGGACGAAGATATCAGAAAAGAGGTGATCAAAATTCTCGCCAAGATTGCCCCAGAATGGTCGGATAATTTGGAGTACATCGTCGACACTGTGCACCGGATTGGAAGAAAAGAAGAGGGCAGAAATCGCCAAGTCATAATTCAATTCACACC